CACCTCAGCCTCCCAAAGGCGCGGGATTACAGGCTGAGCCACCGAGCCCGGCTACCCCTCCAGTTTTAAGTGTGATACCTCTAATGATACTGAGCAACAGTCAGGGTGGACAAAAATAATATGCACGGGAGATGTACAACATTTTAGAAACCTCACAGTTTTGCCAGGCACAGTGGCTCAGGCCTGTAATCCCGGCTATGGGAGGCCAAGGCAAGAGTATTGTCTGAGCCCAGGGGTTAGAGACCAGCCTGGGCAATCTGGTGAGACCTCATCCTACAATAAATCAAAAAATTAGCTGGACTTGGTGGCACGCACCTGTAGTTCCAGCTAATTAGAAGGCTGCGGCAGAAGGATCGCCTAAGCCCGGCAGACTGAGGATGTGGTGGCAGTGAATGTGCTACTGTACTTCAGCCTGGGCAACGGAGTGAAACTCCAACTCAAAAAAAAAAGAAAAAAAGAAATCTCACAGTTTAAGAAACTAGGCTCTGATTTCCTACTCCCAAACTAGCCAAGCAAGACTTATTCCCTTAGGTTTCATTCTTAAGAAAAATCCTTGGACTATTTCACATCTTTTAACTTCCAAAGTGTTAAGTTTTAGAGGTTAAGAAAGGCTTTGTGAAGGGTAAAGGAGCGTGCCAAGAAGAGAAAGACCTTGTACAAAGGCCTGACCTTGGTGATAGCAGGAATGAGAAGTAGATCAGTGCAGCTAATGCCCAGACTGTGTGTGTAGGAGTAGGGAGGAGGTGAGTAAGCAGAAAATGAAAATCTGTGGTGTGTGTGGAATGTGGGCACATGTGTGAACATGTGTATGAATGAAGTGTAAGAGTGGGCGGTGCATAAGTGTGATGTGTAGGTGTGGGTATGTGAGTGACGTGAGTGATTGCAGTGTGTGGTGTGTGTATGTGAGTGTGTATGAATGTGCATGCAGAATGTGCATGAGTCTATGAGAGGATGTGGTATGTGTGCTTTGAGAGTGTAAGATGTGTAGATACAACTGTGTGTTTTTGTGAGTTGCTCTGTGTGTGGCAGTGTGTGAATGGTATGTATGAATGTGTGTGTGTTATATGGATGTTTGAGAGTGTATTTATGCTGTATGTCTAATAGTGTGTGTGTGTTGTTTATGTGAATGTATGTGGTATGTGTGTGATGTGTTTGTGTGTGTTTGGGAGCAAATTAGGAGTGACCAATGCAGTTAGAGGGTTAGCAGGGGTCAGATTGCCAAGGTGAATGACATGCTAAGGAGCTTGGACTTTCTCCTAAAGGCAATAAGCAAACACTGATGGATTCTAACTGTAATCATGTTTAGGGCCTGGTACAACTGCAATCCCAGCACTCTGGGAGGCCGAGGTAGGAGAATTGCTTGAGCTCAGGAGTTCAAGACCAGCCTGGGCAATATAGCAAGAACTTGTCTTTACAAAAAATACAGCAAAATTAGCTGGGTGTGGTGGCGTGCACCTGTAGTCCCAGCTAGAGACTAAGAGGCTGAGACAGAAGGATCATCTGAGCCCAGGAGGTCAAGGCTGCAGTGAATCAGGATCATACCACTGCACTCCAGCCTTGGAGACAGAGTAAGACCCTGTAGTAGAAGTAGTAGTAGTAGTAGTAGTAATAATAATAAAGACCATCGTCATCTTGTTTGTACTTCCAGCTGCTGTGGGGGAAATGGATTCAAGGGAGACAAGTCTGAGGCAGGCAGTTAGATTAGACTGAGGCTGTTGCAGTCATCCAGGTGGGAGATGACAGCATGAGCAAAGGTGGAGAGAAATCCATTCAAGTTACTTAGCAAGAAAATGGAAACTCTAACTGTTTGGATGTGAGGATGACATAACCCATCCAGAATGTGTCTGTTGCCAGGCCCAGTCCAGGCAAATCCCTACAGATGTCTCAGAGGATCTTTCTCTGGGCACTTCCTCACCTTGCCTGTTCCTCCAGCCCATTACATGACTGGTCTTCTTCATACAGTTGGGCTCTTATTCTCGCTTTGTCCTCATGAACTTGACCTTTAATTCCTCTTTCTGGGCCCACCCTTCTCTCCTTGTGCCCTGTTCACAACACTGTCTCCAAAATCTTCCTGGTCCTGATATCAGGCCCAACACTATTCAGGAGGAATGCAGTCAGAAACAGTCTGAGAGGTATAAGCAGGGCTTGAACTCTGACATATGGTAGATGGGCCTCCACTGGTGCCCTTGCCGATGATCTTACCAATGTTTGAGGTGAGCCTGGGAGAGGAAATGCAGTTTTAGAGGAAGAAAATAAGTTGTATTTTGGACAAACTGATTTTAAGATGTTCACACGACATCCATGTGGAGCGTCCAGGAAGCAGTGGTGCTGAGCATGGAAATCAGAGAGGTCAGGATTAGAGAGAAAAGATTCAAGAGTTGTTGCTAATTCAAGCCATGGAGGGGGTGAGCCCGTCTGGGAATAGAGTGAACAGTAAGAAGTGACTGAGAGAGATGTCTGAATGAGGACAGGTAGGGAAGTTGGCAAAGAAGCACGCAGAGAGGCAAGGGAAACCTCAAAAGTGTAATGCCACAAAAGCTGAGTCAGCTTCAAAGGGAAAAGTATCAGTAAGGTAAAAGCTGTCAAGAGATCAAGCAAGGCTGGGCGCAGTGGCTCACACCTGTAATCCCAGCATTTTGGGAAGCCAAGGTGAGAGAACTGCCTGAACCCACATTTGAAACCAGCCTGGGCAACCTGGTGAGAACTCATCTCTACAATAAATCAAAAAATAAGCCAGGCATGGTGACACGTGCCTGTAGTTCCAGCTACTTGGAAGGCTGAGGCAGAAGGATCGCCTGAGCCCAGCAGGTCAAGGCTGTGGTGGCTGTGAGCATGCCACTGTACTCCAGCCTGGGTGACAAAGTGATACTCCAACTGAAAAAAAAAAGAGGTCAAGTAAGAAAAGTACTAAACATGTCCACAGCCTTTAGTGAATAATGACTTGGCATTCATGACCTTGGTTAGAGTGATTTCAACCCCACTGTAATGGCAAAGGCCTACCAGACTGAAGTGACAAATGAGTAAGAAAATGGAGAAAACATATGATGGTAACACTTAATTCAAAAAGTTTATCTTTGGGCAGAGGAGAGTGGGAGTGGGCATGGACAGGGCAATAGCTAGA